CCTCCAAGCTTGCACCCTTCGCTGAGACAGCACAGTTCCCATCACGGAGATCTATGCTGCCCCCAACCACGGATGGCCACGTGGACGTCGACCACATCTTGGATCACAGAGACACGCATGTTCCCAAGCCACATGGAAGGGGAAGACCTCCCAAACCTGCGAGGGAGTACAGAGTACATTTCAGGCATCATACTGATCCGAAGGAAGATCGATGAATTTCAAGGGAGGAACTTGTCAAGACAGCTCCTCGGCTCGTGGCAGATTATGAGAAGAGACTGAAGGGGAAAGCACCAACATGAAGCATCTCGGCGGACTTTCGAAGCTAAGGGGGATAGAATGTGAGGAACAAGACCTCAAGGGGCCCTATCAGACATCACATTGTTCTGGGCTAAGGCCCCCCCCAGCAAGCCAAGTGCCCGCCCTAAGTGAAGGTGGGCCTGAATATTCGTCAGAGGCAAAATTCGACATTTCCATATGTGGGTATTCAGGCTCTCGCAGCATGCCAGTTGGTTGGGTAGACGCGTGAGCCTCACATTGCTGCATCATACAATTGGCCCAGGCCTTGACAGTTGCGCCTGGGCACACATACACAAAGCAGGGCCGATACATTGGGAAGCAGGCCTTCGGCCTTTGCAGAAGCTGTAGTGCCAACGCACTTGCCTGGGAGCCCTGCACAGATGCAGCAAACAGCCCAAGTCCGAAGACTCAGGCCGTGCCTAACTGTAAAGGGGCCTAGGCCCTCAACTGTAGTCTTGGGCCTGGGCGCAGGATCGGGAACCCAACTGGAAGCTACTGGAAGCTTCCAGCCAGGCCACATGCAGCATCCGGGAGGCTGCCACTTCCACAAAAGGAGTGAGGCAGCCCATGGCAGGCATTCTGGCCAGCGCTGGCAGCGCGGAAGTGCTGCTGCGCTCTCGCTTGATGCTGCGCTGCTGACAAGGGCGCTGACGGGGCGCGAGAGGTGCAGTGGGGCGCTGCAGGGCAGCGGGGCGCAGGCAGTCATAGCCGGGCTGCTGGGCGCCAGGGGGTACAGCGGATGATCAGGTGGTCTTCAGGGAAGGAGGCGCTGTGTGGGGTAATCAAGGTCTGATTGAGGGTAACCAGATACGTACCTGGTACATGAAGAGAGGTCGGCAATGGTGTTGTCGAAGTGATCCTGTTGCGTGAACCAGCTGTAGGTAGGCTAGTCGAGTAGAGTAGGCTGGGCGCTGAGCGCCAGACAGAGCAGAGCGACTTTGGATACTGTGTTGGTGTGGCCTACGGGCTTGAACATTGGCTCATTACTTATATGGATGGTTTCCTCGGTGCATTTGTACGCTCTGCTTGGGACACGACTACTTGAACAGCTGTGTGATTTCGCAACTTGGTTTTCTGTATATCGCTCACACTCATATTCCTTGCAATAGGTGATGAATTCCACACGCAGCCAAGACGCACTTCGTCCCTGTCCCGACAGGTGTCACACGAGAGTCGGTCGATCAATAATCCAGAATAAAGTATGATTCGGTAATGCACACAGAAATTCATTTTTTGTTGAAAATAGCCTGAATCATTGTCCCATCATCCCACAGTTCCCACTGCGCAGCTGCACAAATGAGTGCCATATAATGCCCGGGTCTGTGCAAAATACAGGCAGAAAGGTTATATATATTTATCACTACGCTACAAGGGGCCCCAGGCCGTGCATCCCCCCGGGAGCCACGGGGGCCTCAGTTTTTATTTATTTTTTCATTTTTCTATTTTCGTCAGCTGCTCTTGTTGGGTGCAGAGGAAAAAAAGCCCCTCTGGGAATAATATTTTTCCCTCAGTGGGGCTTTCTTTTTTCTGCGCCGGCCATGAGCAGCTGGCAGCCGGGCCCTTTCTCCGTTTGTCAGAGCTGTGTGACCGTTGATGGTGGGGAAATGAGGGGGGTAAATGGGACTTAACGGGGCTTAAAGGGGTTTAAAGGGGGGTGGCTCAGTTTGATTTTTCTATATATTTTTTTAAATCTTCGATTCAGTAAGGAGCTTTCAGGACCGTCCGCCAAAAGTTGTTTGAATTGCAATTCTACAGAAAAATAGTTTTCTTCCAGATGTTTTCGATTTTCCTCATTTTTTTGTTTTTTTAAGTTTTTTATTTTTTTGTAATTTCGATTCTACACAACATAATCATTTTCCAGATTTTTTCCCTCCTTTTTCTTCTTTTTTTTTTGCGCGCGGGACCCGCCCCGAACCCCGCCCAGAGGTCCAGCCCAAGGCACCAACATACAGAATGGCATTTTTCGGATCACAGTGACGCAAACAAAATAGGACATCCGTTATAATTGGAACGATATAGAGAAGATTAGCATGGCCCCAGCGATGGAAAAAAAAAAAAAAAAAAAGAAGGAGAAAACAAATTATGACAAGAAAAGTCATGTGGGTGACGTCAAGGACGTAATTACGATCGTCGCGCAATTTCTTTTTCATTTTATTGTTTTTAAATGACTGGTGGTCAGGTACGTCGGATCATCGTGCTACGGGATGATTAGGATATTATGATGGTGAATCGGTGATGGTAATTGGGATTTTTTCTTTCTTTTTTTTTTGTTTGGGCGGCGGGGGGGGTGGATGTTAGGACCGTGAGTGTCCCGCAAAAAAAAAAAAGATGATGACACTGAGAGAGAGAAGTCCAGTGATGATGATGAAATGGCTCAGATGGTGGTTCAGAGAGTGGTGGGAGTGCTCCCACCACTCCTAATGATTAGGAGATCGAATGGAGAGGAGAGGTGGATGACGATGCCGAGCTGCTGCCCCATGGGATAGTGTTGTGAGAGAGATGGATCGTTGCTGTGTTGTTGCACATTCTGCTTATATTATATGGATTTTCCAACGTACATGAACCCTCTCTCTCTCTCTCTCTCTCTCTCTCTCTCTCTCTCTCTCTCTCTCTCTCTCTCTCTATCTATCTATCTATCTATCTATCTATCTATCTATCTCTATCTCTCTCTCTCTCGCCCCTTGCCGTGCTATGCCACATTGTATATATATTGTCACACTGTAAATCAGAGCGCAAAGGCGGAAAAAGATAAAACAAGGAAAGGAAAAGAGGGAAGGAAGGAAAGCCCCACCTGTTCATCACCTCTTACGTACAAGGCCAGCCACGTGGATGACAGGTTGAGCGCTGGCTGTCTCCATCCCCGTGTGTCACAAGGACCCCCCACTTGCACGCATGCAGCCAAAAGGCAAAAAAGAGGTAAAGAAAAGGAGGAGGAATATATAGATAGTCAAACAGAGCTGCCCGGTAAACCGTAGGCAGAGAGGGAGACGAGGACAACAAACGAGAGGGTGTGACAAACTGTTTCGTCGGCGTTTCACCGACTCATACATATACAACATGTAATTACAATGTGGCATAGCACAGCAAGGAGAGAGAGAGAGAGAGAGAGAAAGAAAGAGAGAGAGAGAGAGCGCCTCCTGATGAGACCAGTTCTGGCGCAGGCTGAAACCGGTTAAAGGAATGTCAGCGCCCTCTTGCATTAGTGCTTCATTTCTTCTTTCGTGTGGCAGGAGGGTGACACCATAGCCTGGCTATGGTTTTGTCGTGCAACGCCTGGTGTGGCGTGCTTTTTCTTCTTCTTCTTCTTTTTTAACATAAAGATTACGATGATTCGTTTCTTGCTCTTTAGTTATTTCTGACACGAAGGTGTGGTCTGCTGCTGCGCCGACCGTGCGACTCCACTATTGCATGCTCCTCATGAGTCGCAGAAACCCCGACGAAACAGAGTCTCAAAGCCCCTCGTTTGTTGTCCTCTTCTCCCTCCCTCTCTGCCCTTGGTTTACCGGGCACTTCTAATGTTTTGATATCCTGGTTTGTCTCGTCCCATCGTTTGGCCTGTGAGTTGGGGCGGTGCCTGCATGTGGGACGTGTCATCTGGGATTTGTTTTGTTGCCCCCTGTTCTGTATTATTTGGCTGTTTCCTTCCTGTTTTCTTTGCCTCTTTGCCTTCTGGCTGTGTGCAAGTGGGTCGATATGACACACGGGGGTGGGGGCAGCTGCCGCTCAACCTACATCCACGTGGGCGGCCTTGTACGCAAGAGGTTTTGAACAGGAGGAGTTATAAGGAAGAAGATATAAAAAAACGAATTCATTCTTTTTTTCTTTTTTTCCTTTTTTTTCGCTTTTGCGCTCTCATATTCATGTGATGATATATATATATATCCCCTCTATTTACCGGACACTTGTGCTTGACCACTCTGGTCCATCCATTCATCACTTTCGTCTATTGACTTCATTTTTTTCTCTATTCGAGTCCCTTTCATCCCATTCATTTCACTTTTGTCCATCCATTCATCACTTTCTTCTTCTTCTTCTTCTTCTTCTTCTTCTTCTTCTTCTTCTTCTTCGCGATTACTTTCTCCTCTTGGCAACCGCCAATTTCCTGTTTGGTCTTCGACCTTCGCCTCTTTCCTAAGTCACAATACACAATGTGTGACAATATATAATGTAGCATGTGCAACAATATACAATGTGTGACAGTACACGACATATGGCAATGTACCGTGTGTGACAATCTATCTACGTAGCAAGTCCACAGTCCCGCAACACGTGGATACGGTAATCTATTTCTTTTTCTTTTTTTCTTTTTTCAAGGCTGATCGTTTTTTTTATTTTATTTTTAACTGACCGGACCTTCAAGTTTCGTATTCGTAAGCAAGTTGTCGAGCTCTTTTTTTTTTTTTCCTGTTTTAATACGTTGCCAAAAAAATAAATAAATAAATAAAAAAGTAACGACGCTACATTTCATCATCATCATCATCATCATCATCGTAAAAAAGAAGTGCCCCTCAAAAAACAAAAACCHCCCCTCAAAAAAAAAAAAAAAAAGATGAGATCGGCGATAAACCAAAGCACATCCTTCACGTCAATATGACTCCTCATCATCATCATCATCATCATCATCATCATCATTATCTTATCAGCATTATAATAAATAAATAAATAAAATCCATGAACGGAGAGGGAGAAACAGAGGGACGTACGCAAATGGCGATGGCTCGACGAATAAAGCTATACGACGCGGCTTTCGGGACCAATCAGCGAGAGGAGCGTCCACGGAGCCTGCTGTCGATGCGTGCCCCCGCCGATTCTGCCCAAAAACTCCGGGAGAGCGACGAGAGAAGTATGGAGAAGAAGATGAGTAGGGCGAGGAGGAACATGAGGAGGAGGAGGAGGAGGAGAAGGCGGGGAAGGCGGAAGACGAGAAGGAACATGATGATGAGGAGAAGGGGGAGGAGGAGGAGGAGAAGACGGAGAAGGCGGGGGAGGCGGGGAAGGCGGAGGAGGAGGTGGAGGAGGAGGAGGAGGAGGAGGAGGAAGAGCCAGGTCCGCTTGGCAAGCAGAGCCCAACCAACTCGCTGCTTCCGCTCCCAAGCGCACTTTCCAACTTCTTCAAATGCCTTCCGGCCGACGACGATGACCGACAGCGCTCACGCAGACACAGCGGCTGATCCAGCGCCGCCATAGCTGTTGACGTCATCTTCATACGGTGATGGTGTGTTATTCCTAGTGAAGAACATGATCCTCCTCCTCCTCCTCCTCCTCCTCCTGCTGCTGCTGCTGCTGCTGCTGCTCCTCTCCCTCCACATGGTCCTACAGCGATGCTTCGCGATCCTCGCCGTACGATCACACACGAGCTGTGTATTTCTGACCCGCACACATCAATCACTTGTGGGCCATTCGTCGTCGTTCTACCACTGGCTCCCGTCGTAGTCCATATCACTCCCCCTCTTACGACGGAAGCCATGACGATGGCTGGAAAGGCAGAGGCTACACCTACCTACCCCACCCCGCTCTGACTCCCGCGACAGCCGCCGACCCAAGCAAGCACCGTTGGACTTCTAGCGAATGGGCCGCGCAGCACTCCCGCTCGAAATCCCCCCGGCGATGGTTCCGACCGGCAGCCGCGCGACTTGACCACCGGCCGGCCAGCTACCGGTAGCGCCCCAGAAAGCCGCCCAGAAAGCCGCGCGGCAAACGCGGGGGAGGAGGGAGCGAGAATGCCAGAGCGCGGGCTTGCGCCGTGTGCCCGCCGCCTGTGCTGGCGCCTCCGCAGCTCGCACGCCAATGTCTCTGCAGCAGACAGCCACGATCCGCCCAATTTTTCGCCCAAATGGCGCCTCTTCCCCGCACTAGTCACCAAGTGCGCGAAACTTTCCGAAAAAAAAAAAAGAAAGAAAGTGCGCGAAATGGAACGGACTCGACACATTCGACCAATTGGCACCTAGCTCCACTACTCTCGAAATGTGCAAAACGAAAGTGAATCTTCGGCTAGAAGATGGAAAGATTCACCGCCATGATTTTTGAATTTCGTGCATATCGAGAGTGGTGGAGCGAGGCCCAAAGAGAGGAACGGAGAAAGGAAACAAAAAGAAAGGCCCTTTCCATCCTATGGTTTCCACTGTCGATACACAGATTGGGGCAGACGGCCTATCGGAAGATAAAAAACGCTGCAGGGAGATACTTATGGAAGTCCGAGGCCACCGCGGACCAAGGTTCTCTCTCAAAGGTGGCCTGGGAAGTCATAGCTACTCCCAGGAAGGAAGGGGCACTGGGCATTCTTGACCCCCTCCAGCAGAATGACGCGCTACTGTCCAAATGGCCGGTGTTAGCAATGCTGGGAGCTGACTGTAAAATCTGGATCCCCTTCGCAGAGTATATTCTGGGAAGGGAATGGGAGCTGCAGGATTCTTCAAAAGTCTGGCTCTGTATGCTGTTGCCATCATTCTGCAATTCGAAGCCTAAATCTAAGTTATGGCGGAACATCATCTGTGCCTGGAACAACGTGAGACCCACGAAGTCACTACCTCCAACCACGAAGCAAGAAGTCCTGAATCAGCTCTTATTTGAAAACGAAAGAATCGTTCATACTAAGGGACTCCCGTTCACTGCGGCAGAAATACCGGGAGGTTTCGGCAGAGCCTGGATAAGCAAAGGGGTGCTGCAGGTGCGGGACCTCTGGGACCAGTCAAAGGACACCTTTCTGGATACTGCACAGCTACGACAGAAGCTCCCGAGGCTCCACAAGCTAGCCCAACACAGGTCAGAACTTCTGGCAGCTATCCCAGATTCATGGGCTCACCTGCTTTGTTCATCATCGGAGAATGCCGTGGACACCTGGCTACAGTCCGAAGAAGAACCGTCCCAGATCTTACGGGTCTTGGGACCCGATTTGGCGTCGGGAATGAGAGTGCAGACATGGCGACTACCAGGGCCTGTCCAGGCACATGAAGCAGGCAAGCTCGTACTGGAGAAGGAAGACACCAGGGTGGAGAGCACAACACAGCTGGAGGAGGTTAGGGTGCTACATCAAATTGGGAGGCAGGGTAGAGTGGAGGCTAAACTGATAGGACCAGCCAGTCGGTTTCGGGTGGAACCCCTGCTGATGGGATGGAGCACTGAAGAGAAGGATACCTTCCTCCCCCTGCTGCAGTACAAGCCGAAGGTGGGAGTGCAAGTCCAGCAAGCTCGCCTGGGGAAATCGGCTACCACCTTGGCCTTAAAAAGAGCTGAAGCACAGCAGCTTTCAGGAGTCACTCCGCAAGGAGTGCGGGATCTGTGGAAGGGCTTAAGAATAATCCCGGTGCAGAAGCAGGCGAGTATCATGTGGTTGCAGTCCCTGCTGGTGACAGCGACTGCAATGTGGCTCTCTGCAAAAGGAATGGATATCCCGGTACAGTGTCTTAGTTGTAACTGGGGGTGGGAGAACATGATACACTTATGGCTGTTCTGCCCCCTGGTAGACGGGCTACTGATGTGGTGGAAGTCCCATTGGGATAAGATAGTGGGGGGAGCCTTTAACTGGTCCGACACGTGGATGTTGACAGGCATCTTACCTGGAGGTATGCAGTACGCAAGCTCCTGGGGTTATATTGCCCTGTGCAGCAGAGGGATTCTGATGGAAGTTATTTGGGCAGCAAGAAATGCGCGGGTGTTCCGAGGGGAAGACACCCCCTTAAGCCAGCAACAACAACAAGTCAAGCAAAACCTACGAAGAACTATAAAAGCAGACTGGCAGAGGAAAAACTGGGTTTGGTTCTCGAAAACTTGGGCTAAGGACAAACGACTGGCATCCGTCTCAGCGGAAGGTGCCCTATCTCTGTGCTCATGGTTGAATGATACACATGATTAGCTTGGTCGCTATTAGACCAGGGGGCCGAAGATAGGCCGGGAGGTGCGAAGGGAATTTGGTGATTGAATTGGTTGTTTGTATTGAGAATTGAATAGAAGCAGGAAGGATAGCACGGTTTGGATCTTTGTAGAGTACCTGCTTCCCTTTTTTCATGAGCTTCATGGTTAACTTTTGGAAGAACAGAGGAGAGGCTAGGATTGGGGACACTGGACCCGGTTTCCAGTATTCAGTTTCTCCCAGGTTGTTTGTGAGGATTCCCGGCCTCTGATTTCGAATTTTAATGAAATATTGTTTCTTCCAAAAAAGAAAAAAAAGAAAAAAAAAAAGAAAGGCATACGAGCTGAGCCCTTGTTTAAAAAAAAAACAAAAAATCAATCCACTGTCACGGGATCGTTATATTCGATTCGTGTATAATCGATTCCCCGAATATATATATATATATATATATATATATATATATATATATATATATATATATATATATATATATATCGTCAATATATATATATATATAT